GTGGTTACTTGGAACGAGACTGACATGCATGAGTTGGATGCCTGGATGACAAAGTACGAAGGCCCTGCTTATATCAACGATGATCAAATAATATAATTGTTGATCATCTACAAAAGGGATATCTTCTGGTAGATCAACCTGATGAGAGTGATGGCATTTGGTGTGTGTGGATCACAGTGGAGGGTTTTCAAATTAAAATCCCTATAATGGACATGAAGGTAAGAAGTATCAGTAAACATAGCAAAAGGGACATTACAGAAGCCATACAATCAGAGATCATTACTAAACAATGCAATATGCTACCTATAAGATAGAAGGCACCTTGCAATTGACTCATACCATTTGTAATCGTCAGAAAATTCCAGCTCCGTCAATTACAAGGAGGGAAATTACCAAACCTCTTTAGAAAAAAATAATTCTGGAATTTCGGAGGGAAGTTTTCAAACCTCGTCAGAAAATTCCAACTCCGTCAACTGCAAGGAGGGAAATTACCAAACCTCTTTAGAAAAAAATAATTCTAGAATTTCGGAGGGAAGTTTCCAAACCTCGTCAGAAAATTCCAGCTCCGTCAATTACAAGGAGGGAAATTACCAAACCTCTTTAGAAAAAAATAATTCTGGAATTTCGGAGGGAAGTTTCCAAACCTCGTCAGAAAATTCCAGCTCCGTCAATTACAAGGAGGGAAATTACCAAACCTCTTTAGAAAAAAATAATTCTGGAATTTCGGAGGGAAGTTTCCAAACCTTGTCAGAGAATTCCAGCTCCGTCGATTGCAAGGAAGGAAGTTACCAAACTTCACTACGAAAATCGATACCTTATCCAAAAAGGGAAAGAAGTTCTTCGTCCGCTCTGGACCTTACATCTCTAAAGGATGGATTATTTACAGGAAAAAGCGACAATAATGAATTAGAAACCTGCCATATTATAATAAAAGACCTCGTCCAAGAGGCTCAAGAACATAATTCGAACATTAGAAAAATCAAAAATTCTCGAAAAATTAACCGCAAGAATAAGCCATCTTCGAAACTTTCTACGTCCTTATGTAATAAATCTCAAGAAATAATAGATAAATTTACGCGAAAACATAAGTCTAAACACGAAGTTGACATTATAACCCCCGAGTCGCATAATTGCCTGGTACTTTCTGAGGAAACTAAAGAAAATCGACTCTCCAAAATTATTAACTCATTGCGATTAGAGCATTTAAATGGAAAAGAACAGGAAAACATAATAAAATTAATAATAACGAATAGTCAAGATCGTTTCCACATTCCTGGAGAAAATTTAACCGCAACTCACGTTTTGCAACATCGAATAACGACCACCGATGATCACCCGATAAATACTCGGCAATATAGATTTCTGCAAATACATAAAGAAGAAATAAACAAGCAGGTAGAGGACCTCTTACAGGGGCATAGTGAAACATTCGCAGTCGCCTTACAATACGCCCATATGGATTGTGCCTAAGAAAGACGATTCTAAAGGAAATAAACGATGGAAAATGGTTCTCGATTTTCGAACCTTAAATGAAAAAACTATTGGAGACGCTTATCCACTACCTAATATCAAGAGACACGGTAGTGTCTTGTGCTAAGTCCCGCGTAAACAACAAGACGCGCCGTGTATCATTACGCGAGTCGGATAGTTGGAGATGTTCGAGATTATCATATTGAAATAATCGCTGAACGGATCGAGTTCTTATTAGGCTTAATGGATAGCTTGAGGTTGATTTATATAAGAAAAGTGTCTTTATTTTTGCTCTACGTGCATCGTGAACAGCAATATTATGATCCAAAGTCGAAATATGAAAAATTTTCATTAAGAAACGTCTCCTTGGTCATCGTCGCCCAAGTCCCCAATGTGCAAGTGTAAAAAGTTGTACGTTTGCCGCATTCGACGTAAGATTGCGCTAGCGGCACTCCGTGATGTTAAGACTATTATATACAGGGTGTCTCATTTTAATCGATGGATCCAAATTTCTCCTAAACTACATCAGCTACAAAAAAATGTTTCAGACAAAAGTTGTATGGCTTGAAGAGGAACATAAGGTGGTGTCATTGGTTTGGCATTGAAAAGTCACCTGAAGGTTACGTGAAGATCACATCCAACTTTTTAAATGGGACTTCCTATATGCTTTTGCATATTTTTTTAGTTTATCTCGAGAGCTTTCCGAAATACTATAATTAAGTTAATTTTCATTAAGTAGTTTTCAAGTTATGAGACTTGAAATCATTTCTTAATTTTACATAAGTCGTAAAATATCTAGTAAAATATTCATTTTTCGATTATCTTATCTTAATACTTTTATACTTAACACTTTTATCTTAATACTTTTACGTACAAAATAATAAGCAGAATCAAATGGTGTAAAGAAAACATACAGTTGTTTAAGAAAAAATATGGAATTGTTAATTGCAAATTACATATTTTTTTCCTCGGAACAGTTATATGTTTTTTTTACACCCCAATTGATTCCTCTTATTATTTTGTACACAAAAGCATTAAGATAAGTTAAACAAAAATGAATATTTTACTAGATATTTTACGATTTATGTAAAATTAAGAAATGATTTCAAGCCTCATAACTCGAAAACTACTTAATGAAAACTAACTTAATTATAGTGTTTTGGAAAGCTCTCGAGATGAACTATAAGAATATGTAAAAGCATATAGGGTGTCCTATTTAAAAAATTGGATGTGATCTTCACGTAACCTTTAGGTGACTCTTCAATGTCAAACCAATGACATCACCTTATGTCCCCCTTCAAGCCATACAACTTTTGTCTGAAACATTTTTTTGTAGCTGGCGTAGTTTAGGAGTGTACGTTAAATATTTTGTGTCCATCGATTAAAATGGGACATTGATAGAGCAATCTTTTAAGAAAAACATTGTATGTTTTAGGAAATAAGATGGTTCATTGTTTGACTTGATATGTTTAAGGTCAGGTCAAGGACACCTTTAATTTCTTAAATGGAATCACCTATTTTTTATTGCATATTCTTATAGCTTATGTAAAACTTTAAATCTTTCCAAAAAACTATAAAAAGTATTTATTTTCATTATATTTTGATCTTATAAAACTTAAAAATAAAATCTTAATTTTAAAAAAAATGTAAAATTTTAATTTTACATATTTCTTCGAATATTTTACTATATACATACTTTTTATTAAAAATAATGAAGGAATCAATTAGTGTAAAAAAAACACACAGTTGTTTTTAAGAAAAAATATGTAATTGTTAATTGCAAATTACATATTTTTTCTTCGGAACAATTATGTGTTTAATTTAGGCTAATTTCATTAGCACATTGTTCAGCGTAGCAGCGCTAAGTTTTTTAACTAAAATTTTTTTATATGTATTAATTTTTAATTTTTATATAAATTTTTATTTTTTATTTATTAATTTCTAATTTTTAATTTTTTTAATAATTTTTAATTTTGTATTTTGTATTATCATTTTCTTTTTTTTTTTTAATTAAACTTTTCAGGATATATGCATATGATTATTGCAATGTATATGATTGTTCATATTTTCAATTCGATTTTTTATAATAGATATATTACAATTCATTTAATATCATTTTTCTTTTAATATTGAAAATAAAAAAGAAATATGTCTATTTTATAGTAAAAATTTTTATTCAGTTGGCGCAACTTTTTAATATTATTTGTATGAAATTAAAACAATTATTTTGTACAATTTTTTTTAGTTAAATTATTTTAAGTTTTTATTTTCAATTAGCGTAATTTTTGGATATCATGATTTTTCTAGGATATAATGTAGAAAATTAAATCAGCTATTTTGTATAACTTTTTTTGGTTAAAGTATTTTTATAAGCTTTTATTTTCACTTAGCGCAACTTTTTTGATATCATTATTTTTGTAGGATATACAATACAGTAGTTTTTACAGTTAATAATACACTATTTTGCAAATACATATACTGTTTTTTACGCGGACTTAGCACCTTTTTTTACCTTTTTTTTAAAAGGGTAATTTTTTAGGGATTTGTTGATATACTAGATCAATTAGGGGGAGCGCAGTATTTTTCCATATGCGATCTCGCATCTGGATTTCATCAAATAAAAATGGATCCTGCCGACAGTCACAAAACCGCTTTTACGACTCCTTTCGGACATTACGAATTCGATAGAATGCCTTTCGGCTTAAAAAACGCTCCGGCTACTTTTCAACGCTTAATGGATTTAGTATCAACAGGACTACAAGGCGAAGAATTATTTGTATATATGGATGACATAGTTATTTATGCCAAATCATTAGAAGAACATGAAAGAAAATACAATGCTTTAATACAATGCTTTAATAGATACAATGCTTTAATAGAACGTCTTCGAAAAGCTAATTTAAAACTACAGCCTGACAAGTGCGAATTTTTGAAGCCGGAAGTAACATATTTAGGACATGTAATTAGCAAAGATGGAGTAAAACCAGATCCAAAAAAATTAGAAGCTGTGAAATTATTTCCGAGACCGAAAACGCCGAAAAACATTAAACAATTTTTAGGACTTACCGGATATTACAGACGTTTTATACCTAATTTCTCTGAATTTGCCAAACCGTTAACATCCTTATTAAAAAACAACACAAATTTCGAATGGACATCCGAACAAGAAGAATCGTTTAAAATCTTGAAACAAGAATTATGCAAAGAATCTGTATTGCAATATCCTGATTTCTCGAAACAATTCATTTTGATTACAGATGCTTCAGCAATAGCCATAGGCGGAATCCTATCACAAGGAGAAATAAACAGAGACCGACCGATCGCATACGCACTCTAACAGATAATAAAGTAAAATATGACACTTATGAAAAAGAAGCCCTAGCCATAGTTTATTGCCATAGTTTATAGTAAAACATTTATAGCCATAGTTTATAGTAAAACATTTCAGACCATACTTATACGGAAGAAAATTTACTTTAGTTACTGACCATAAACCTTTAACGTGGTTCAAGAATGCACAAAACGCAAACATGCGAATACTACGCTGGAGACTGAAACTATCAGAGTACGATTATGATGTTGTATACAAAGCCGGAAAAACTAACGTAAATGCAGATGCACTATCACGGAACCCTGTAAATATCATGGAAACAAAATGTAATATCATAAAATATAAACCACTGAATCCTAATAATTCGCAAGATGCAGAAAAAATTTCTAGGATGTTAGAAGAATCCGACGACGAGGGAGAAAGCGAAGACGATTTTCATTTATACCTTTCAGATACTGAAACAGACGAACCGTTTTATGACCATACTAATGCCACACCATCTGCCGAAGAAAACGAACCACCACCACCCAAACAAGATCGAATACAAACCCGAAGCCAAACTGTAAATCAAAGGGAACAAAATAAAAATTTTCCAGATATCGAAAGACGAACAAACCCACCAGATAAAAACGAAGATAAAGAAGAAGAAGAAGAAGAAGAAGAAGAAGAAGAAGAAGAAATTATCAACCTAAATTTACGGAAAGCAAGAACGAAATCTATTGAAAACAAAAGTAATGTCATAGAAAGTCGCGAATTATTATTTTTACGAAAAGATAACGTAATGTATTTTGTTGACACCAACGGAAAACCTTTAGATTCAGGCTCACAAAAACTCTTCGAGCGGAACAGTCTTCCAAATCTTGGGTCCCTTATTCTAGGCAAACCTAAAGCCATAAAATATAAAAACTACTACCACATAGCTTTGCCTATTATAGAAGGACAACAGGAGGGTCCTACAATGACTTTAAACCAAATATCAATCACCGTAAATAATCTACGCGACATCATTCAAGATTTAAAATTATAAACAATTAGTATTGCAAAAACGGAAACAATTAATAACGTACCATGGAATAATATTAAATCACGACTTCTGTCAACATTCGTTAATATACCCGTTAAATTGATTATATGTAATGGATTAGTCAAATATCCACCTAAAGATTTACGAACTGTCATTATTGGAGAGATGCACTGCCTACTCACAGGAGGACACCGTGGCGTTACAAAGACTTACAACAGAATAAAACATAACTATTATTGGGAGAACTTGAAAGCCGACGTTCAAAGATACATCCAGCAATGTTTACAATGTCAACTCAAAAAACTCGTTCGAGTTAAAACTAAACAGCCTATGATAATTACAGACACACCAGGATCTTCTTTCGACAAGGTCGCTATGGATATCGTAGGATCATTATCGAAAACCGAGAGAGGCAACGAATATATTTTAACGCTACAAGATCAATTAACAAAATATTGTATGGGAATACCGCTACCAAATCAGACTTCCGAGACCATCGCAGAAGCTTTCGTAGATCGATTCATTTGCGTGCTCGGAGCACCAAAGGCGATATTAACAGATCAAGGACGAAATTTTATTAGCAAATTACTGAAAAAAATTGCTAAACTATTTAAAATTCGCAAGTTTCGAACAACAGCTTTCCATCCTTAATCAAACGGATCTTTAGAGAGATCTCATCATACATTAAGAGAATATTTAAAACAATATGCGAACGAACAAAAACAGTGGGACCGATGGGTTGGTCTTGCAATGTTTAATTACAATACTAGCGTACATGAAGCAACTAAGCATACTCCATACGAATTAGTTTTTGGTAAAATAGCAAGAATTCCATCCAACGAACCTCTTATTTTAGAAGATAAACTAGCAAGCTACGATGAATACTTAATAAATCTCGTCACACAACTTCACACTATTCAGGGAAATGCTCGCGATAATGTTATTCAAGCAAAAACTAAATCAAAAAATCATTACAAGAAAATAAATCCGCAGACATTTAAGCCTGGAGACCAAGTATTTTTATTAAAAGATCCTAAACTTGGTAAATTCGGGAACCAATATACCGGACCTCACGAGGTTTTAGAAATTCTTAACAAAAATAATGTAAAAATTAAGATAAAGAAAAATAATCGAACAGTACATCCTAATCGCTTACGAATTTCACACATCAAGCCACCGAAAAGCCAATAAAGAAAAAAAATCAAACTCTATTATCATAAGCAATTTTAACCACTCTACAGAATAAAGAAAAATGGAGATCAAAAGCATCAAAACAAATTTCTTAACATGAGGACGCTTGGACGTAACAATAGTCAAGGTGGAATCACCGCTCCTCTTCTGCGTTGAACTGAGAAACGGCGAGAAAGATTTAAAAGAATTAAAGGAAGAATTAGAATTCAGGATGTGTAGACATCGCACATACGCCGCCAGATTGATCGGCCCCAGTCCCCTAGATTGATTTTGACCATTAGGGCCACTCTAATGGTCAGGAAAGCCACCTATCTACACATCTGGTCCGAAGATTTCAAAGAAAACATGGCCATCGCAATAAAGGATTGTAAAACCTGGCGGCGGGGCATTATAAAAAGAATTAATAGGACGAACTGGATGATCAAAATCAACCTAGGGTACTGGGGCCGATCAATCTGGCGGCGTATGTGCGATGTCTACCTTCTGGAGGACAGATTCAAGGAGTTATCCTGGCAAACTATAACCTGTGGTTTAGTCTACACCGGTCCTGTCCAGAACATCCAAACCTGGCCAAAAGAAACCAAGGATCTCTGCCGACTACTTCTCGAAGGACGAAAAAGATGGATCCATATAGTCCGCCCCCTCAATGAAGGGACGGCACTGGTTAAATTAAACGTAGAAGGCATACCTCCGACCACTTCATATTCTCTTCGCGACGCACTTATTTTATTAGGTCACGCTCAACTTAGTACTAGTGTAGCTGTAAATGTAATTCCAACCGTATAAAAAACGATGGAACACATTCCATACATTATTAAGTATTCCATATTATTAGTTATTATCTTACGTATATACTCTATATTAAGTATTATGTTACGTATACTCTATATTAATTATTATCTTACGTATACCCTATATAATCATTCTTAAAAAAAAAAAAAACTTAAATAACGAAAAAATTAAATTACATAAAATCATATATTTACTCAAGTAGAATATTCATATTCAAAAGAGAAGAGAATGATTATATACATATACAAATACATAAAAACATGTTATACAAAAATTATAAACATTTTATAGGAATCTTAGTTATAGAGTTATCATTGATTTATCATAATTTTACATAAGACTGATATTCTTTTTAGCACTCTAAGGAGCGCGAAGGAGTGGAACCGCTTTTTCTCTCATTAATGAATATCGCTTGATTATCAGAAAAGCTGGTTATTACCCCCTTCCCCTTCTTCCTTTTTTTCCCTCTCTTCGCGAGGCTTCTCAAAATGCAATTCCTTGATGGACAAAGAGCGAATCACAATGACTATCGCAACCTAGTTGAACTCTAGTGCGTCACCATAACAAGAGACGACGTTTTCAAGACATCAAGGAATGCTTTGTGGCAATACTATCGAACTACAGACAACAGTACATGTTAGTACCACTGCATAATTTGATCCATTAAATCTCAGCCGAACATCAAACAACTTGCACGATCTGTAGCATAATCTTATGAGTCAGCCCCGCATGGGCATGCCTATACTGCCTGGAAGAATATCTACATGTCGACATGACGTACTTAGTCAAAGAATGGGGACGCCCTGTGACCACCAGATGGTTAGAAGAAAACCCCCCCCCCCCTACATCAAACCCGGCCCGAGCGCCTGGCATTGTCTCGCTACTGATGATCAGGTAAGTTAAAGTTATAAGAAAAGGTTAGTTAAGAAAGAAGTAGTAAGAAAAGTTAAGTAAGAAAAGTTATAAGAAAGGTTAGTTAAAGTTATAAGAAAAGAAAAGGAAAATTCTTTTCCTTTTTTGCTAATGACAAAAGTATTAATAGTAATAACGAAATGAAGTTCCACGTTCGCATTATAAGAAATCGATAGTTCAACAATCTTAATAATAGGAAAAATAGCGTATTAATAACATAAATACACATAGTGATAGGCACGCCTCCGAAAGGCCACCCAAATACTAAGTTATAAAAATAAATGGCAAGAAAAGAATCGAGACAATTCCATCTGCAAATGTTGTGTCCTACATCCCCAACATTTGTCTAACGGCGAGGGTGTTACGTCCAGAGGAGCTCACGATTCTTTTCTTTTCCTTATCTAGTGCACATATGCACGACTTCCGAAAATCGTTAATGATAGTTTAATTGAAGTAGGATTCTCAGTAAATATTCCAGAATAACAATCAGATATTCACGGACTGATAAAAGTAGCATCTGGCTAAATAAGGCGGCAATCAGTTAGACGAATTTGATATTTTCTGATCACTAAAAAAACTCACAAAATTCAAACAAGCTACAGAAAATAAAGAAAACTATTTACAAAACGTGAGTGAGCAGATGTCGCGACAAGCACCCGTTTTATATCAAGGGGGTAGTAAAAGTCATCCCCTTATCTCCAACAGATGCATCTTACAAAGCATAAATTATCATCACTTCCGATACTGAGAATCCTAAGTCCCCCGTTTTGGAAGATGCTCTCCTATTCGCGGACAAATGTAATTAAATTCTGATTTGTTGCATTTGTTTTAAAATGTGTAAAATAAGTAGGGACAGGAAGGAGACCACGGAAATCTAATGAGGGTTTCTATTCGTCAACTTCCCTTATTCCTCGCTGGGAGAGGGTAATCCAAAACGATATATAAGCGCGAACTTTGGACAAATCAACGCTCAAAAACACACAGTCAGTCAATCGGACATACATTCATTCTTTCTTCGCTTGCTAGTTCACGTATTTGCTCAGTTACTTATATACTTACATAGTTGTTCGGTTACATACTTGCTTATCGAGTCAGTGCAAAAATCTTAACCAAGGGGGCCCAGCAGCAACCACCCTCTTCAACAACTATATCCAGAATCAATTTAGCGCTAATATCTCGCCATCCTCAACGCCAAGAGGGCCCAGCAATAATTGATATCGATTTGTCCACGTTTTTCAAATAGTAAGTCTTATCTTTTATTTATTAAGTTCCTTTCCCCCCATCTTCCTTTATTGATAATAATCGCTTCCCTAGTGGAACCCTCCGTCTCACACACACACAATCACGCTTAATACACACACACAACACACAATCACGCTTAATGCACTCACACACTTACAAACAATCACACTTAATATTGTACTAGAGCCGTAACTAAAATGTTTATGTAAGTTTTTATCTCTTTTATAATGTACAATAAATTTAATTAATTTTATTTCTTTCAAATCTAACTTAATCAATTCCCCCGCATCACCCACGCTCCTGAATCGCACTTGGGCCCGTCCCGGGTAAAAAGGATTAAGTTCTTTTACCAAAAAGGGGATCGTCGAGCGGCCATTCGGACCAAAAATAGAGTAAAATCGACCCTTGTGGTCGTTGACCTATCTTTGGCTCTCCCGCAAGCTCGCTCGACCCGAGACATTTGCCCTTAAGGCACCTGTTCTCGGGATACAAGTGTTACGCCCTTCCTTCGGCCCATCCTTCCTCGGGCCTGGACGTAACACGATGTATATATTAGATTTATTTCGAGGAGGAGGGAATTCGTCGCAAATCGAGGAGAGACGAGAGTGACGTAAATCGAGGAGAGAGAGAGAATAAATTACGTGTAAAATTTTTTTATTATGTCATGAAGTTACATGCGTAGATACATACGTCGAGAATAATATCGGTACTCGCGATCATTTCGCCTCATTCGAGCGCAGTTATACGGGTAAGTATACGGTTCGAGATCGCGATACATTTATTCGTCGCGCGTAGCGTTTTACAAATTGTGATAGAGTCCGAATAGCAGAGCGTGTAACTCGCAGTCGATCAGATCGTTCGCGTTGAAGTGCTCGTGTCGACGAATCGCTTCCGGAATATCGCCGGGGTGGTCGGTCTCCGTCGCGATATCTAGAAAACGCGATAACTTAATGTCTACGGTCTCGAGTATGCCGGTCAACGACGCGATGATGCGATTGACGCATAGCGCATAGAGAACGAACAGCGCCTTCACGGTGGAGTGCGACAGAGCGATGCGATTCTTCGGCGTCTCGAATCGCAGCGTCTTCAGATTGTTTATCTTGTCGAATCGAAGCGTCACGGTTCCGACGATTATGGACGTCGGAGGGCGCGCCACAGCCTCGTCCAAATCGTTCTCGAAATACGGCAATATATCGTTGCGCAGAGCGAGCAGATCCTTCTACATGTCGGGCGTCAGAGATATCTCCTTTCCATGGCAGTCTCCTAGGACGATGTCGACTTGAGATTCGCGCTTCACAGCTACGGCGATGTCGATGTACTTGTACGCCATCTTGGTCAGCGGATATCGTCTTCCTAATATTCGAATCGGATGTCTCACGAAATTGATCTCGCGTTTGAACAGCCAGTTTCTATTCCATCTGTCGAGATTGGAGAAAAAAAATACGACGTTATTATACGAAATAGCCGATCGAGGCGGAGATCGAGAGCGCTCGGGCGAGGTAACTCGCGAAGCGTCGCGCATACTTACTCGTCCTCGGTGTACAGTCGAGCTTTCTTGATCACGGGCGGAGTGTCGGAACGATCGCGAGTGATATCCTCGTCCTTGGCGGAAGCCGCGTAATCGTCTCGATGGTTAGGCGGGGCGACGAAGGGGCCCGTCATCGGCGCCGACAGAGTCGCGGGCGTCGCGGATAAGTCCCCGAACACTCTGCGGTACTCCTGTCCGAGTCCGGCGAACATGATCGGTCTCGCGAACAGGGCTTCGATGTTCGTAGGAAAACACTGCGGTGGCGACGGCGTCGTTAACGTTGGTTGTCGCGAGGAGAGAGAGAGATTTGTCGGAGACGCTCGCTTAGAATCGTACGCGCGTTAATCGCGAGTATCGTTGGAAATGTCGCGCAACGATCGAGACGCGCCTTATATACGACGCGATCTCGATCATCGTCTCGATATCTTTATTCTCGACGCGCGCGTTATGCGCGTTAATTAATGCAGCGGAAGCGGTTTAGAACAGCGGTTTAGAACAGCATATTAAATGTAATGTTTAATGTTAGGTTTCATGATTTCCTGATCTTAGTCGTCATCGTCGTCGTTGTTGCGCGGTCTTTCGAAGGACGCGTATTCCAGACGATACAGCTTGGAGACGAGTTCGCTCAATCGATGCAGAATGCCATCGGCTGGGCATTATATTCCCAGTATACTAAGATCGAAGGGACCGGCCGAGATTATCGCGTCGATGAACTCGCTGTACGCGTAATACTCGCGTTTCTTCAGAAAATAGAGATTTCCGTCGACGTGGCGGAAGGCAGCCGTTATCGCGGATGGTATCCCGGAAAACGTATCCCGCAGAGCGCTGTGCTTCGCGACGGTCATCGCGCAGTCGTTTATCTCAGCTATTTTATCGTCGTTGTATATGACGTAGCTGCGCCCGGCGTGCGTGTTTATCGCGGCGTTTATCCTAGCGTCGCGGGGAAATCCGACGTATTCGACGGATCTAGGCCATCCCGCTTTAAGATGAAAATTCGAATCGGCGAGGTAGACGTAGTCGCCGGCGAATATCGCGATATCGCCCGAGGGTTTCTGATACATGGCCGATACGCGAGTGAGATTGCGGGGGAGGAACTTGAAATAGTTGGCGAATGAGAAGGGCGCTCCGTAGCGTCTCTCCCTCATATCGACGGGCCACACGTTGCGTTTACGCGCG